CAGGAACTGTGCATTTCTCAGCAATGTTTGGCCACTTCTCCAGTCGCCTCTGTAAGGATCAGGTCCTGGGTTCTGAAAAGATCAGCCTTGCTGAACACAAAACTGGGACTGAGAGAAGGGAAATGGCAGGCCCACGGTTACATAGAGACTTGGGGCAGAAGCCCTGTCTCTGACCAAAGACCCTGAGCTGAGCCTCAAGCATTAAATAACCTGGTTCTTGTCGCCTTCAGAGCCCAACTCGCTGCCTGGCTGGGACTCCACACTCTGCTGCCTCCTCCAGCTGTCCCCCGTAATCTTGTTCCGGAAGGACCTGAGGCACTTGATGCTGAGCCCTTTCTGAGCCTGAGGCAGCTGTGGAATCACTGTCATGTCCTGAGGTGGCTGGAGAGCCCTTGGGGGGAGCTGATGTCCCTCTGGCTGGTGTTCCTGCTCTGCTCCACACTTTCCTGTCTTGGTTGAAGCTTTCCCCTCTGCCATGGGTGGCAATGGCGGGGGTGCTCTGGGTTTTGTCTGGGGATGGATCCGATCCTTGCCAGCAGTTCTGTGGGGTTCTGGTGACCTAGGAGCACGAAATCAGCAAAGCAGTCTCATTAGCAAAGCCCCACACCCCGTACGGGTATATTTCCCAACAACCAGCTCCATCCACCTCCGCCTACCTATGGCACCCCACAAACCCATAGGCTGCCTGCCTGTGACCCCTCCAACCTCCCTTAGAAACCCTGCCCTGCTGGCACAGCTCTGAGACCTGTAGAGAGCTCAGCTACTAGGGTCGGGGCGACGATGAAAGATCCAAGGGGGTAGAGCACTGATACAAGGCACACGGAATAGCTACTATCCCTGGGGACCTAGTGATGGCTAGTGCACGTCAAATGAGAAGGCAGAAAAGGTGTTGTTGATTCATCACACGCCCTGAGCAGTCCCTGCTAATACCTAGGCCATCCTGGCTCCATCTTAAAGCTCCTCTCCCCAGCAGGATTCAAAGCATGCTATGCAAACACTTCTCTGCAGGGTAGTTCACCCCTTCCCGTGGGATCCCGGTCCATACTAGTGCAGAGAAAAGGACTCCACACACCTAGGCTCTCCATCTTCTGAACACACAAGCATATCCATGCTCCACATACTTCCGGCCACATGCAATGCTTCTTCCTGCAGACCCTACATCTCTCTTCCTGCAGCTTTCCATAGTTATTAAGCCTTTTGTGAAGCACCCCCTCACTGCAGCACACAGCCATACCTGTACACGTCTCGGACAAGCATGTCCTTCCCTTCACACCTCCTTCCCAGGCTGGCAGCAGGGCCATCTTTTACAGAACCACAGAGAATTAAAGCTGTCAAGGACCCAGAGAGAACGTCTAGTCTAACGCCCTCCTCTAGGTGCAATTGCCTGTAGCTAAAGCACTGCATGTAAGTGTTTGTCTCTAGGCATCTGCTCCAGGACTTAACTTCCCTCACAAAGTTCTTCCCAAAATCTAACCTAAATCTCCCTCATCACAATGTCCGCCCACCACTTTTAGTCCTGTCCTCTGCAGGCAGAGAACAACTGGTCACTGTCTTCTTCATAACAACCCTATGTTTAAAGACTGTTACCAAATCCTCCCTCTGGCTTCTCTTCTCTGGACTAAAAAATTGCAGCTCTTCCAACCTTTCCTCATCTGTCTTGTTTTCTAGACCTTTAGTTGTTTTGCTGCTCTCTTCTGTACTCACTCAAATTTGTCCACGTATTTCCTTGCTCCAGCTGGACACAGACCTCCATATGAAACTTCAGCAAAGTTGACAAGACAGAACGAATCCCTGCTGGTGACTTACAGAGAACACTTCTGTTACCGCTTCCCAGCTGGCTATTAGCTTTTTTGCAACAATAACATTGATGACTTTTATTCAGCTTGTGATTCAATATAAGCCCCTTAAATCCTTCCTGCAGTACTGCAGCCGAGCCAGTCATTCCCTGTGTATTTGTGCATTAGACGCTTTCTTCCTAAGCACAGCGCTTTGCACTGATCTTTGTTGAACTTCATGCCTGCATGTCAGGGTGCACACACCCACTGCCACTGGCAGAACCCCCCCTGTGCCTACTTTTGATCATGCAAATACCTCTTGACTTCCCCTTTCTCTCAGGCACTCATACTAGTATGTATCCTCAGGCACAAACCAAGACAAGCATACACTCTTGCCCATACACGCATCCTTGTGCACAAACCCCTGGCATGCACAAACTCACGTGCAAGTCCCATGTGCACATCTTTTCACACGTATGTATCCAATGTCCTTGCATCAAGAAACAAAAAGACTTGCCTTTCTCTCTAAGGCAGCTGGCCCCTTCACACTGTTACACCCTGGAGCCTGCGCACACCTAGTGCTGAGCTCAGGAGTGGAACTTCTCCATTTCTGTTTGCACTATGACATGAGCCAGTTCTGCCTAAAGCCCCCTCTTTGTTCCCAAGTCAGACTTGGTATCTGTTTCTAGCTTCCCCATCTTCCAAAGAAGCCACAAATGTCACTTTTATTTCCTTTAACAAAGAGTCTCACAAGCTCAAGATAAACAAAAAATTGCTGCAGCAGCAAATTGGATGAAAAGATCAAGTCAGCTACAATCAGAGAGTAGTTTTTGATCTACGAACTAGCATGGGGGCTCTGTTCCCCTGGGGTAATGTTCATCGCAAAGACCAAGACAATGCATGGGAGGGATGGGAACAAAGCATTTTCTGTTGAAGGGATCTAGTTCTGGAGCAAATTTCCAAAGGGAAAGCAGGCGAATCTGGAGCCTGGATGCCTTAAGGAAGTGCTGCAAAACCTTCCTCTTTGAAACAGATGCCGTTCCCCAAGAACAATACTCTTGATGCCGATATGAATTTCCTCATACTCTCTGGACAATGTTTGAAAATTGCAAAGGGAGTCATTAGTTTCAACGTCTTCTTGAAGCCTGGTAGGGACTTGGCTACTGCTATGAGTTGTATGTGGAGTGACCAGATCCTATAGTAATGAGGGGTAGGATAAAGCTTGAAGACACAGAGAAAGATGCAGGCACTCACCAACCCCTCTGTTGAGACTATTTATGAGTATCAACCCCTCTTTTGAGTCAACGGTGTCACAAATACAGCCTGTGGGCTAAATCCAGTCCACAGAGCTGTTGCATCCAGCTCACTGGGCTATGGCCAGTTATGGACAGAGTTGGGGACGTCATCATGGGTAGCACAGCAGGGTGGGGGGTGAGAAGATCAATTGCCATTGACCAAGTCAGACCATAGGTCCATCTTGCCCGATCTCCCGTGTCACACAGCAGCCCACTCTGATCCCAGGAGCGACAGGGGACCTCAGCTGGCAGCTCTTCCATGTCTCTGGTGCACGTCATGGACTCCCCTGACACCTGCCCCTTCTGTGAGCAGAGGGAGGCCCTGACACACGCCCACCTGGAGCGCAGCAGGCTGCAGCCCCTTCGCCTGCTCCAGAGGTTGCGTCTGCACGACTCCACGCACCTTTGCATTTACACACTCCCTGTCCGCAGCCCCAGCAAGCCCTGGGACCTCCTGGTCAGCCTCCTCCTAGCCCTTACCAAGCTGGTCATCATCTACTGGGCCAGGAAGGGGACTCCTGCGGGCTGTTTCCCTGTCCCTGGTCCATCCAGGTCTCTGGGTGGAAATTCCCCAGGTTTGAGGACCAGTGCTCGCTGTCCAGCATCCCCCCTCAGTGCCCTCCTTTGGAGCCTCCGACGTCCGCACCCATCCCTGTTTTGTGCTATGTTGTCCCTCCAAATGCAGCTGATGCCTCAACAGCTCCCTGATCCTGGTTACCGCGGCTCTGTAGGCACGAAGCGCGCGCTACCCCTAGGCGTCAAGCCGGCCCGTGTCACGGGAGCGGGATCACCCAGGGGCTTTTCCGCTGCTCCTCTCCCCCTCGCAGCCCTCGGCCTCTCAGGGCCAGGCTGCCCCGGGGCCCCTTACCTGGGCGCCTCGAAGGCAGCCACCAGCCTGGCCCCGGCCGCCCGCTGCCCCTCCATGCCGCGGCTCTGGCTGCCCCGCCTGAGACCGCCCACGCTCCTCCCCCCGGGCAAAGGGGAAGTGCCAGCGGCGGGGCTGGGGCCGGCCCCGCACGTGGCCCGCGGACACGTGGCGGGAGATGCAGCACGTGCCGCATCATCCCACCAGCGCATGCGCCCTCCTGCCTATGGCATGCAATGTCCCGTCCCGTCCCCCCCGGCAGAATGGTATCGCCCACTACCTCCCCCAAGACTCCCTTCCCCTGATGGGGTTGGAGGGAGGGTGACGTGATGACGCAAACGCCCCGCCCCTTTCCTGCGTCGCACCCGGAAGCGCCCGGGTTGTGGCTGTGGGGATGGCCGCCCTTTATTCCCCCGCCGCCACCCCCGGGCCGGGGGGGCGGCCGGAGCTGGTGGGCCCCGCGGAGGGCGCCGACGCGCTGTTCGTGGTGCTGGGCGCCGGCTTCACGGCGCTGAGCCACCCGCTGCTGTATGTCAAGCTGCTGGTGCAGGTACGGGGTGGGGACGGTGGCCGGGAGGGGCCTAGAGGACGGTGGCCGGTGGCCGGGAGGGGGCGCACTGCAGAGGGCTGGGGTGCAGCAGGAGCTGAGCCACTCACTTGCCCCTTGGGGAGGCGCTCTCTGGTCCCTGAGGTTTGGCCCCTGTTGAGCTGGAGAAACCAGCTCTGGAGCGCTGTCAAGCGCCGCCTCGGTCGCCAACCTGCTCTTCACGTGGCCGGTCTGGGTTTATTGCGCGACTTGCCGGTGTGGCGCGTGATGTATGTAATGTAGAGATGGGGCTGGGGGGAGCTGCCCCTCAAAGAGCGGCGTCTCCAATGCGGTCCGTAAGGTGCCTCGAATGGGGATGGCGAGGTGGCGCGAGGGAGCCTGGCCTTGCTGAGCGGCGGGCTGATGGGATTGCTTGGGAGGATGAGAGCGTGTGAAAGCACCGGAGCAGGGTTTCTCAACCCGCGGGTCGCAAGAATAGGTGAAAGGGTCGTGAATGAACTTTAAGAATGGATTCTCCTCGGCAGGAGAGAAACATGGGGGGAACCGTGGCTTTTCCCTTGCAGACTGGTAGAGTTTCAAGCGGCTTGGGGCTCCCCCTGCCCCCTACGCTGGGGCAGTAGGTCAGGAGTGAAGGGCACCGGGTTGGGACTGGCCATCGATGTTTACAAATATAACAAAAACGGCAGAGAACCGCTGCTCTAGAGGATCCTTGATGGGGAGTTGAAGGGGAGGGTGCTCAACAGTAAGAGGGCGAGGGGGAGTGGTGTCCTTACACTTAGCTTCACGTCAGTAGGGGAGTGGAGAAGAGTAGCACGTGTTACACATGAGCAGTTCTTATAATCCAGCAGCTTTTGGGGCAGCCCTGTAAGAAACAGTCGCTGACTTGTGTTTCTTTTGAAGGTGGGACATGAGCCTCTACCTCCAACCCTTGGGAGAAATGTACTGGGAAGAAAAGTGTTGTACCTACCTGGCTTTTTCACTTATGGTGAGCATGTTTTGGTGAAAGCATAACACTGTTCTGGAAGGGAAGGTGTGAAGAATTAAGAATCTATTTAAATTGGCTAAAACTATTGTGTACTCAGCGCTGGCTGTAATACAAAAGCATCCTGAAACGGTTCTGTTTTATTTCTGATAAATACCAGTGTTTCTGCTTCTTGCATCTTGGCAACCCTTAGAGGATTCTTTGCCGATAGTTCAGTCATTTTCTTAGATGAGACCTAAAATATTTTGACTAATTGCTGCCTCGATATTTTTGTCCAGATCTTCAGCCAGATTTACGTTACAATTGTTACAAGAAGCAGGAGAGATACGTGGTAAGAGCTGAATCTAAAAGACTTGGATGACTGCACTTTTACTAAGGAGTTGAGGTTGAGATTGTGGAGATGGCCTTCCATTAAGGTCTGGTCTTTGTTTAATCAGGTTACTTAATCCTGTCATTCCCAGGTCCACTTAAAAGTACTTTTTTGCTTTTTTTTTTTAGTGTAGATGAGAATGAGTATGGCTTATAACCAGCTGTAGTTCTGATTGAAGGCTTTAGCATGTCTATAAGGGGTATTTAAACTCCTCCCAACACTTCACAGTATAGCTGTGTGGTAACTTGAGCCCCAGGTGTGCTTTAGTACTGTAGCTGGGAGCTTTAAAAGAACAGATATATACAAGAAAAAGAATAGACAAGCAGGACAGGGTAAGATACTGGGAGAAAAAAAGTTACATTTTTCTTTAGAAGCATAGCAGTAAGAGAACAGCTTGGGTTAGAAACTCCTACATCCTAATCTCAGTGCTGATAGTGAATTTCTCAGTGGCCTTGGACTTATTGCTCTTTGTCCTTTGTGAAAGGCTCATAATCCTTCTAGAGAAAACTATTTTTAAAGGGAAGAGCCAAGAGAGCTAGAGTCCTGAAACCTGAGCTGAAATGCCTGTTAACTGATGGGGATAGAATACAAAGCACAGTAACAAAGTAAAAGGTTTGTGTTTCCTTGGCGCTGGAAGTTTGTGATGTACCAGTTTTCCCGTAACACCTTTCAGTGGTGGATGATGTATTTTCATAAATATGTACGTAGTGTTTGATTTCCTGGAGGAGGACGGGGGAAGGAATCCATGTGATCTGCACCAGAGAACAAGCATAGCTTTTTACAAGCAAGGAATGGGGTTCTGGGAGCAGTATGCTTAAATATTTGGTCAGCTGGTTTTTGATGAACTGCAATGAAACCAAGTATAGCATCAGTGTGCTGCTTCTCTTCCCAGATGATCTAGGATCCTCTGCTGTGCAGTGACAGAAATCTGACAGAACACATTTTGTTCAAAGAATTAAGCAAACTGCCAGCTTACCTTGCTTGCCTATTTGGCCCCCGCTTTTTGTGTTATCAAGTGCCTTGCAGTCTTTAATGTATTACCCTTGCAATTCCCTTCTGGTAGAGGGCAGTGCTATTATCTCCATTTAACTGACTGGGAAATGGAGGTCAATATCCACAAATATATTTAGGTACCAAATTTCCATTGATTTTTTTTATTTATTTATTTTTTCTTCAAGTCTCTGTAGCCTGTCCCGACCAGATGACTTTCTGAGGTCATATAGAAAGTTGGTGGCAGGGCAGGGAATGGAGCCTGGCTCTCCTGAGTTCTGTGCCAGCACTGTTACTACCCACTTCCCATACTAACTACCCTAGGGTGGAAGGAGGAAACTGCTACATAGCAAATAAGAAATTCTTCCATTCAAAAGCTCTTGTAACTCTTTCAGACTGGCAGAACACACTCAAAAAATTAGAATTAGTCCAGGGCATTATGGCCAGTGCTTCATCTCTTGCAGAAGAAAATGCTAAAGGATCTTTTATGACTTGGTGCTGTCCAAATCTTTTACATTGGTTATGAAGCTTATTTGGGTCTTCTCAGTAAATCACTTGTGGTCCCATGCTGTATCATTCAAGCAGATTCAAGGTCCTGGTGCTGCTTAGAGTGGGAGTTAGCAAGGCTGCAGAGGTGTTGTGCTACACTCTTCTCTGGTAAGGTGCTTCAATCATGACTGACACAAGTGTAATGTTTTTTTACCCAGCCAGACACATTGTCAAAGTGGATGGGAAAACAGGACTCTTCCGTGGTCTTACGCCTCGAATTCTCTCTAGCACTTTATCCACAATCACCCGGGGGAGTGTGAAGAAGGTAAAGTGTGAATTTGCTTTTTATAAATTAACACACTGGGTGTTAAAGCTGCACAAATCAAGTGCTGTTGGAATAGCATTGGTTCTTTATAGCAGTAAGCCTGTGTGACATGCATCTGAGGAGCACTGATCCATCTGGCTGAGAGCGCTGTGAGCTTTGCTGAGCAGCAGTGAGTTCTAGCCAGCTCTAAAAAATGCTCTCTGGTTACATGGAAACTACTTCAGCTTCCAGCTGAAAAACTTGAGCTCCTTGGAAGCACGTTTAACAATTTGGTTGATGGTTGCCTGTGAATGCAGGGGACTAGACTCTGTGGCCCAGGGCCCCCTTCCAGTCCTGTGCCCCGGAGTTAGAGAATCTCTGTTCCTGGTGAGATTGTAAGAAAACATCATACCCCCTTTTCTCCATCTGCCCTGTTTTCCATCCTGTTGATTGTAGCCCAGGTTTCTCTGTCCAAGTGGCATCATAACCCACCAGAATAGCCATCATCGAATCCTGGTAATCCTCCTGCACCCAGGCCTGGAGTGCCAGTTGTCTTGGATACACCAATTGGGATTAACTTTGGGGTACCCTTGCCATATGTACAAGTGCGCTTTAATGCACAGTAGCCTTATTTTACCGCACATTACAGCGTCACGTCAAAAACCATGCTAATATGCTAACGCACAATAAAATTAGGCTACTGTGGATTAACCATCACTATAAAGCATGTGCTTTCACTACTGTGCATTAGGGCAGCCTAATGCACAGTTATTTAGTACCTCACATTAGAGGTACCACCTTTTTTAATATGCAGTAGCAAAAACACATTAATGAACAGGTACATGTGCCTCCTGTGTGTCATACAAAGATTTGGATTTCCTGTTGTGGTGTTCAGTGTCTTCACAGGTAATGTCAAGTTATGTCCAGTTTTATCATGTTTATTTGAACCATGGTATTTGGTATGAATGTATTTTTGTATTTTTATCATGTGACAACCTAGGCAGCAAGCTGATTCTTAAATCAAATATCAGGAATGTCCTACACCAGACAATAGTCATTCATATATCTGAGAGGAAACTAATCTCTAGAGCATTGATTCTCAGCTGAGATGCCCTGACACCTTGATATGCCATGAAACCCTTTTTAAGGTGCTGTGAAATATTAGTAAACCCAGAAATTTTGAATGGGAATCTAGAGCATTAAAACACTCTGACCTACAAAGGTCTTAGGAAGCCCACAGCAATGGAAGAATTACTGTTACTTTTCTGTAGTTAAGAAATGAGTAAAAGCAAAGAGCTGGCATTTTTCAAGGGTGCCTTGAGGTGTTTAGCCTCTATAGAACTGAAGATCTATAATATTTTGCAAACCGAAGGTGTGTATATCACAAACCAGCAGACTTCTACTGACCATG